TTCTGAGGCAATTATACTGTAAGCAGTAGTTAATTAGCTCATAACTGGGCAGCTAGTAAGGGACAGAGTCTAAGATGGAGTTGGGCTGGTCAGCTTTATGAGGAAAACAGTACAAGCACAGGTAGGCACATGATAAACAAATATGGGAAAGTGACCACTGTAAACCAACCCCCTTTCTCCTTTTTACTTTGGTATCCCCAATTACATAGCAAGATTCCTAACTGGCCAAAAAATACAATGATTGTGCAGGGCTACTGCATGCTCTGTCTCTGTCCAGGCCATGTTTAGTGTGGACAGTCCATACCCAAATTCTATGGGCCTAGCCCACCTTAACCTGATATTGCCAGAGACCTGGCCAACTACAAATAAAAGATCCTACTCAAGGAGCACACTTGACAACCCTTTTGGGCCCCTTCCAAACTATTGGGAGCTATCTCTCTTACATTTTCAATCAACACTCCAATGTCCATGACTTCATTCTTTGACTTTGTGAGATGCCAACCCAGTTTGGATAGTAGTAGTATCAATCTCCTTCCATAAATTTCTATTATATGAAACTTCTATACCACATACGAATATTATTAGATAGGAAATAGCAGGAGGCAGTTACAATATCTTTCTTTTTTTTTTTTTTTTTGGTTTGGTTTTTTGAGACAGGGTCTCACTATTTAGTTGAGACTGACCTGGAGCTCACTGCGTAGCCCAGGCTGGTCTCGAACTCCCAGTGATCCTCCTGCCTCAGCCTCCTGAGTGCTGGGATTATAGGCATGCGCCACCACACCCAGCCAATATCCTTTTAATACAATACCTGTACTTCTAAGATTTCTTTAATTTTTTTCACAACTACAATTCTCATAGTTCCACCATAGTGTCAGTTTACGCTACTCTTCAGTTAGATTTAATGATAAAAATGAAAACATTCCTCACAAAACTTTGGCTAGCATGTATGGTTATTTCCACTGTCAAGAAACAAAGAACAAAATTCAAATGAAACCTTTTCAAAGTTTTACTGTTCCTCTATTTATATGAGATGGGGGTGGGGTCCTCACTGTGTTGCCCAGGTTGACCTCAAATTCCAGGACTCAAGAGATCCTTTGTGGGTGTAGTGGTCAATGCCTGCAGTCCTGGCACTGAGAAGGCTGAGGTAGCAGGATGACAGTTCAAAGTCACCTGGGCTACTCAGCAAGTTTACAACTAGTCTTGACTATAGAGCAAGACTCTGACCCAAAAATATCAAACCAAACCACAAGCAAAACAAAATTCCTCTTCTCTTAGCCCCCTTCACCCCAGTAGCTGGGACAGGTGCATGCCACAGCACTGGCTTTGTTTCTCTACTTAACAGGAGACCATAAAGGCTAAAATGATAACAAAACCAGAATAGGTTTAAAGAAACAATTTCTATACACAGATTACAACTCAGTATTTCATGATTTTCTTTTCCTATTCTAAGTGACAAATGATACTATTTCTCTATCACAAATGAGCCTATTTTTCTATCAGATAAAAAGGAAATAATGAGGCTCTAACTTTCAGAGATTTTAGACAATTTATATTTTTAGATTTTTAGCAATAAGCTATATTATTATTAGAAATAGTCCACTTTAAAAGAAAACTGATAGGATGAATCTGAAATTTTTCCAAATAAAAGGTAGTTACCACTACACACATGCCAAAATCATAATCCTGTATTTAGATTTTTATTTATTTGGGTTTTTATTTTTTAGAGGAGGGACTCACTATACAGTTCAGGCTGGACTTGAACTCACTATGTGAGCCCAGACTGGCCTGGAATTTGAAATGATCTGCCTCCCTCAGCCTCCCAAGCACTGTATTACAGGTATCTGCCACCACACCTGGCCTTTAGATTTTTAAAAAAATAGTCTACAGCTATTAAGAAGCATATAGCTAGTACTATATTTCAGTAGTAAAGATGCAGGAACAAGATTGACTATCCCTTCTAAAGGCTAGAACTGTACTCTGAAAGAATGATGTTGTAGTTTCAGAAGACCATATAGCACATAAAATTTCTCAGTTCAAAAGGAAAAAAACTGAAAAAATATATACCCATGCAATGATAAAAAAGCTAAAAATGGGTTCCTGATGTAGTTATCTGTAGCGTGGCTATAACCTGGTCAGAATGTAATTCTTCACTTCTGAAAAAAATATAAAATCAGATAATCAAAAGTTAATTAAAATAGTAGTGAGCTTGTTCTAATTAAAATGAAGTAATAGTTTTAAATTTTTACAATGTAATTAGTTCTACAAAATTAAATGTTCTATTAAATTCACTGGGAAGGGAAGTTTAAGAGGAATTTCTAAATATTTTGTGATTTTGACAAGAAATTGCTTAAGATACTAAATATCTTCTTTGGTCAAATGGTTACTTATTTAAGTTACTTGAAGAGAAGAGGTAATACAAAATATACAAATTGCATTTTTCTTTTCAAATATGCACTGATTTCTTGATTTTCAATTTCCATTACCAAAGTCTACATATCTCTGGAGTCCTTTTTAATGTATCAGAAAGCTAGATGTATATTTAAATCTGAAAACAGCATTCAACTGAAGAATAATACAAGTCTAGTGCCAGCCACACACATCATCTTTCACTTTCCAGTATCCATGTCAGGGAGCAGCTTCACATAAAATCATCATCTCTAATGTAATTCCACCACTGAACAGAAGAATAATGTGTGTTTCAGTTACAAATTGGGCCAGACTGCTTTCATGAATATAGTCACATATCCTGAGTGGGGATTCTCATGAGCACGTGGTGGTCCTCACATGGTCCCATCCTACCAGATATCACGGCAAGAACAAAACACAGAGCTGCAAAAAGCCCATCCAGTTTTATTAAAGAGAATTTCCATATTGCTTATTTACTGACAGACAAGTCCATCAATAACTGCCAAAAGCAATCCCAACATAGGAGGACCAGCATAATTTGGAGGCCTAATGACTCTAACATTGACATCAGTTCTATCTGTGATCTACCAGGCAATCTGCTCTGCTGAAAAACCCCACAGCTGCAACTCATGTATCATCTTGTCTGGGTTTCCTTTTTGCAGAAAGGTTGATGAAAGTTTAAGTTGATCTCATGTTTAGCATTGGAAATATTTGGAGGCCTAATGACTCTAACATTGACATCAGTTCTATCTGTGATCTACCAGGCAATCTGCTCTGCTGAAAAACCCCACAGCTGCAACTCATGTATCATCTTGTCTGGGTTTCCTTTTTGCAGAAAGGTTGATGAAAGTTTAAGTTGATCTCATGTTTAGCATTGGAAATATATCAGAGCCTTCATCAAAATTCACTGTGGTTTAAAAAAAAAATTCAGTTGGTAAATACTCTGTGATACTGCCAAGAGTTTGCCAGGATCTGAAATTCTTCATCAGCTTGCTTGCAAACAACAGTGTCCAGGGAAGAGAGAGCAGTGAACACAACTGATGACAGCAATTTCTCAGTGGGGCTTTACTAAAGTCTCAGAACTTATGTCCATAACAGGTCTTTTATCAGTCCACTGCATCAGCTGACTAACCTTTTCAGGTAACATCTCACCTCCTTTTCCCTTTGGGCAGAAGCCTAGGGAATCTTGTAAATAAGCATCTGGGCCAAGCCCACCACAATGTTCATAGAGACACAATCAAAATCACCTATGTGCTGCCACGTTTGCTCCTCTATCTCCTAAGAATATATGATCATTTTCAGTTTACGAAACACATTCCTGATGATATAAAAGACAACGTTTTTTTTCACTGTAGCCCATGGAACTACTCCCCAAGTTTTCTTCTCTTTATTCAAATACTAAACTGATGCAGAATATTTTTTCTTTGTGGTATTGGGGATCGCATGCAGGGTACTCAACCACTAAGCTACATCCCCAGTACTTTTTATTTTTTATTAGAGACAGGTCTCGCTAAATTGACCAGATCTCAAACGTGATTTTCCTGCTTCAGCCTCAGGTACAGAAAGGATTATAGGCCTGTGCTACCATTCGTGGCTCTGAAAAGTATTTCTGAGTCTCTAAATAGATACAATATTATTCTAGATCCTCCATCATAAGGTTCAAAGAAGAGATATATTCTAAAGCCAGATGTGGTGGCATGTATCTGTAGTCTATTACCTGGAAGACTAGGCAGGAGGATCACTTGAGTACAGCAGTTTGAGGCAACAGTGAGGCCCCACTTCAAAAAAAAAAAAGGAAAGAAGATATATTCTAAAAATTCTAGAACTGATAATAGGTAGTTTATTTCAGAACACTTTGATCATATCTTCCAGAAAAGGCAGTATAATCAGATACCTGGATAATACTTTAGCTTCGATAGCCATAGCACATGTTAATGCACGCTTTGGTTCAAGAACCAGTACAAACTGCTACATCAATCTTCAAATATTTACCAAGTCCACACCTACTGCACAGTGCCAAATGTGTGTTTACAGCAGACTGTATTTTTATTTAATTAATACATAATACTTGTGCAAATTTAGAGGATATATTATGATTTTCAATACATGCTGTATATGTTGTACAATGATCAGAGTAATTAGAATATCCACAATCTTGGCAGAACACCAAAATTTATTCCTTCTATTTAATGGTAACTTTGAACCTTGAACAAACTCCCAATCCCCTCCTCCCCTCTGACTAGATTGTATATGTGAGTTGCTGGGGATTGAACCCAGAGCCACATGTGTGCTAGACAAGTGCTCTACCACTGAGCTACACTCTCAGGTCCCTCTATTAAATTTTTATAGACGAGGTTCACAATATATATTTTTGAAGATAAGAAAACATAAGTCCAACATAAATGTCTAAATATGGTCATTCACTCAACAGTATTTACAATTATCCACAATTTCACTTTCCATAGTTTCAGTTACCCATAGTCAACCTCAGTCAAGAATAGCAAATGAAAAATTCCAGAAGTAAATAATTCATAAGTTTTAAATTATGTGTCATTCTAAGTGCGATGAAACTCACAGGTCCCACTCCATCCTACCTGAGACATACAGCATATCCACACTGTATACACTACCTGACCACTACTCAGGAGCAGTCAGGGTGTTAAGACTGATTGTCACAGTATTTCAGTGCTTGTAAACCTTACAGAATAGCTTGTAGCCTAACACATCACAATGCCGATGTCATTCACCTCACTTCACCTCATTGTGAAGGCACTGTATCATCTCATATCATCACAAGAAGGTAAGCACAGTAAAGTAAGATATTTTGGGAGGAAGGAAAAGAAGACAAAGGGGGAAGAGAGGCAGATAGGGAAAAAGTGAGAGTGAGAAACAGAGAGGCTGACAATACATTCAGCATAGCTTTTATTATAGGGCTTGGGGTATAATTCAATGGTACAGCACTGTGTAGCATGTGCAGGGAATGAGTTCCCAAACACACACACACAAATTTTTCTTTACAGCATGTGGCTGTGTATTAGTCAGCTTTTGTGTGACTGGGACACAATACCTGACATCCATAATTTAAAGAAGGAGAAGTTTGTTTTGGCTTGCAGTTTTCAAATTTGGCCCAAGATCATTTGCCTCCAAGATAGAAACAACATGGTGAAAAGGTATGACACAGGACAGCTACTTGACGCATGGCAGCCAGGAAGTGGAGAAAGAGGAGATGAAGACTGCACTCTTCCACGTCATGCCCCCAGGGACTGGTCTCTTCAGTGTTCCCAAAATCCAATCACCTTTCAAATACATGAGACTCTAAAAGGATATTTTAGATCTAACTCACAACAGATTATAATTATTTTACTAGTAATTACTGCTAATATCTTATGATGCCTAACTTATAAATGAAATTTCATCCTAAGTATGTATAGCAAAAAACAGTTTATAGAGGTCTCACTGTTAGGGAATTGATCATGTTAAAGTATTTTGTGTCACTGCCATTTTGGGCTGAATTTCCAGGTTCTTCTACCCTCAAACCCCTGTGTTAAGTTTCCTTTTCCCTAAGATCACATCAGCATACAGAACTGACACTTAGAGCTTCTGCAAGGTGCAAATTTCAAAGAGCAACATGGCTTGTGGTAGGATAACAATAGCCTGTCCCACCCTAATAGGGAAGTCATTGGCTCTCGGCCCTAATAAATGAGCCAACACTTCCTCTCTCCCTCCCTCTCTCTCCCTCTCCCTCCCCGCCCCCTCTGTTCTGCTCTTCTCTCTTCCTCTTCTGCCCTCCTGAATAAAATCTCCAGTCGGACCTCTCGGTGTGTGTGGCCTAGTTGTTGAGCATCACTATTCCCTTTCACTGGTGTCAGAAGTGGGATCCGGGATTGCCAGGCCCGCCCACAGGTTAAAATACCCGGGGACCTGAAACCCCGGATACCAAGACACTCCAACTCAGCCCCCACCCAATGTCTGCAACCACCTTCCTTGGCACCAGTCTCACAGCCAACACGGATCCACCTATCTCCAGGCCTACACCAGATACTGGGTAAGTCCTCCCATTCTGAGGCGTCTTTTGGTAATGGGAGATCCCAGGGTCCCAGACCCCCATGACGACATCCACCTTGGATGTGGCCAGGTACCGGGCCCTCCTTCCTCCACCACAAACCACTGGGTTTGCTAGGTTGAGTCTGGGACTCAACCAGGCCTCCTCTGCCCCTGCTTGGGACTCCTTGAGGGAGTAGAGAGGCTTTCCACTTTAAACTCCCTTCCTGCACAAGAGACGTCTTTGCAGGAAGCTTCAGTTCCATCTTCTAGACCGGGTCTAGAAAAGGGGGTCTCATCAGAACTCTCAGAGACGTCTGGTCTTCTGATAACCTCCTCCACTGTCCTCTCAGCAGTCATGGGCTCTGGCTCTTCCATACCTGTAGACTCTCCTTTGGGATGCTTACTAAGGAATTTGGAGGGCCTTGATCTAAAACCCAAGCAGCTAATTCACTTATCCACTCAAATTTGGCCCCAATATAAGACAAGCAAAATGATTGGCTGCCTAATGGCTCCCTTGAACCGGGTCTAATTTGAGAGACCTATATAACCTTTGTGACCATCAAGGAAAATAGTTGGAGATTCCATATGTCCAGGGCTTTTCTTATCTTAGCAACCAGCCCTCTCTTTGTTCCACTGCCCGGAGACTGTCTCTTCTATCACCTCCTCCCACACTTCTGCTTGCACGAGGTCCCTCCACCGCTACCCACCCTTTCCCCTTCCTAATCTTCCAGACCAACTTGACCCGATTATCTGGCCCCACAGAGTCAGCCCACTCCTTCCCCCACCTCACCTGACTCCTCCTCTCCATCTGCTTCTTCAATCCCTCCTACCACTCCACCCCATGTTCCAACCCCACCTCTCACTCTTTCCAAGTCTCATATGAGCCAAACAATGGCGCCCTTGCGCAAAGTAGCAGGGGTTGAGGGAATCGTCCGCGTTCATACCCCTTTCTCTATGACTGAATTAGCCCTCATTCAAGCCAGACTTGGGATCTATCACTGCCGATCTGACAACCTTTATAAAACAATTTCAACTTCTGACACAGTCTTATCAATTAACCTATCATGATCTTTTTGTTGTCCTCACCAATGCTTTAACTCCTGAGGAGGGCAGGAGGGTGCTGGATCAGGCTCGTGCCCATGCAGACCAGGAACATTTGACAAACAACCATCATCCAGTAGGTGCTCTGGCAGTCCCAGAACGAGACCCAGGATGGGACTACAACACTGAAGCGGGAATTGAGGCCCAGAACAAGTACATTAATTGTCTCCTTCATGGGCTCCGCAGAGTCACCATGAAGTCTATAAATTATGAAAAGCTTAACGAAATTATTCAAGATAAAAATGAAAATCCATCTGCCTTCTTACAAAGGCTGACTGATGGCCTCTGCCAACAAAATAAGCTTGACCCTGAGTCTGTTGATGGCCAGATATTAATTATGATGCATTTCTTTTCTCAGAGCCACCCTGACATTAGAATTAAAAAAAAGCTTGAAAGGGGACCTTTGACTCCCCCTGCAGAGGTCCTGGCTACAGCATTCAGGGTCTATCATGGCTGTGATGATCTCAGGATCACCAAAAAGTACCAACTGTTGGCACAAGCTTTCAATCCTGCCAGGCTACAATTGTCTCAAGGAAAGGGACCTTTCAGGGGACCCTTCCGCCCACCAGAGAGACCCTGCTTCTGGTGCAACCAAGAGGGACACTAGGCCAGCGATTGCCCAAATCCCAAGGTGCCCACAAAGCCTTGCCCTAAGTGCCAACAGAGGGGACACTGGAGTTTCGACTTCCCCCTGGCATCCACTCACCATCGGGCCGTTGACCCCGCCACTCCCCTGAATAATGACCTGATAGGTCTGGCAGAGGCTGAAGGGCAATGAAGAGGCCCTGGCACAAAGGGCCAAATGCGGATCACCGCCCAGGGTGACCTTGATTGTGCCAGGTAGGACTATCGTTTTCTTATTACACTGGTGCCAGCTTTTCTGCATTGAGAGAATAATGGGGACCTACCTCCCTGTCTCAGACCTCTATTGTTGGGGTAGAAGGTCAAAAGCATGCCCACGACAGACTCCTCTACTGTCATGCACAATTGGCAATTTTTCATTTCTTCACTCCTTCCTAGTCCCCCCATCCTGTTCCGTTCCCTTATTGGGTAGTGACACTGTATCCCAAATTGGGGCATCTATTCATTTTTCTATGCCAAGCCCTTCCAGCACTCCTATGTCTTCCTTTTGTCTTCTGTTATCCCAAGCTATTGAACCTCCAGTCTCCACATCCAAGTGGCCAATTAGTCCTTCTCTTGTAGATCCCCAGGTGTGGGATGTTCAATATCCTTCAGTGGCCAGCTGTCCCCGGTTAAGGTCCTCCTCAAAGATCCCTCATGATTTCCAAATCAGGCACAATATCCCCTCCCCCATACAAGCCTAGAGGGGCTAACACCCATCATAAGTAGCCTATTATGAAAAGGCTTCTAAGACCCACCAATTCCCCATTCAATACCCCCATCCTGGCAGCAAAAAAAAAACCTAATGGAACATACCGATTGGATCAAGACCTCCGAATCATTAATTCTGCCATTGTTCCTATTCATCCTGTGCTGCCCAATCCTTATACCCTCCTGTCCTCAATTCCATCTAATGTCACCCATTTTTCTGTTCTAGATCTTAAAGATGCCTTCTTTTCTGTCCCCTTACATAAAGATTCTCAAGACATTTTTGCATTTATTTGGACTGATCCCTTCTCTAATCTACCCAACTAACCTGGACTGTACTGCCTCAGGATTTCAGGGACAGCCCCAACCTGATTAGTAAATTTTAGCTTGAGACCTCCCCCTCCTCCAATTCCAAGGTTCACAATGTATCCAGTATGTAGATGACCTTCTCCTTTGTGCTTCTTCACTAACTCTACTCCAACAAGATACCTATATGCTCCTAAATTTCATTTCCAAGAGGGGATGTAGAGTTTCCCCAACAAAGTTTCAACTCTTCAAACAATGCGTCACATACTTTGGGGTATCTCTGACACCTGGTTTTAAGCTGATTACAGTAGATAGAAAGCAGGTTCAAGATGTTCCAACACCCTCCACCAAAAAAGAGCTTCTTTACTTCTTGGGTATGGCTGGATATCTTAGATCCTGGATTCCCAACTATTCCCTGCTGGCAGCTCCCCTTTATGAGGCCGCTAAGGAAGATCCTCACAAGGCCATAAATAGCTCCATAATCACACCCTTTGTCCGTCTTAAATCCAGCCTATTGGAGGCCCCTGCTCTACATCTTCCTGATCTATCACACCCCTTTCATCTTTATGTGTCAGAAAATAAGGGATTTGCACTTGGGGTCCTGGGCCAGCAGTTAGGACCATCATTTGAGCCTATAGCCTACCTATCCAAGCGGCTGGATCCCACTGCTAAACATTGGACTCCCTGTTTGTAAGCCCTAGTGGCCACATCTCTCTTAGTTCAGGAATCAAAAAAGCTTACTTATGGATCCCCCACTGTGGTTCTCTCCCATCATTCCATTTCAGATTTATTAAATTATAAGCATTTACAAAACCTCCCCCCATGCAGAGTCCTGTCCCTTCAGACTGCGCTTCTACATGATTCC